CTTTGAAACACTTACATATAGTAAAGTTTCATGCAGCCATGAATGTTGCAAGTCAGATTATGTTATAAATATATATTATATATTACATACTATATAATATATCATGTATAATATATACTATAAACGCAGTAAATAATGGAAATAAATAAAATGTTTATTGAGTCTGTAAACTGCGATCCGGCGAGTTCGTCTGTGCTGCTGCAGGGACCCTTCGCGCGATAACTTTCAATGTGTTGTTTTTCAATGAACGTATGTGCTGTTTCATGACCAGGAAGACGTCATCGGCTTCTGCAGTCGGTATTTTGTTTCTCCACAACTATAACTTATAGCTTTGCCACAATCTGCGCTTTACGCATTCTTCCATGTTTTCTTCGACCATACCTTCGAAAATAAGCACTGTTCAGCCGCGAAACAGCAGCTAAAGGCGAAAGCATTTAAGTTTTAGGTTTAATTTATGGTTTCAGCAGCTTTATGATTTTCTAGTCAACTGTCAAGTATGTCAAAGAGAATTGTAGCCTTAAGATGCACGCATTAGGCACCATGGCTTCAAGTTCCGCATGTTCTGGCATGGTCACACCGAAAGATCGTTTCATTCTCAATTCAGTGAACTGCCACCTGTTCCTGGCGCATGTGCATCAAATCACACTGGGACGAAGTCCCGGCGCAAGGAAATTGTCAGTCAATAGGAAAATTTAAGCTGCAACAGATTTGTTGCAGGCATCCCTAAAATGCGAAGCAAACTTCATTTTCGCTGCCTCATTGATACTCTTAACTGTCGACTTTCCGACGACACACGGAACCCACGGCGACTGTCACAATTGTGGTTACGTCAGATGAGTGTGGTTGGAAAACAAGGGTGGCACTAGCAACCTGGCTAAAACATGACAGATGTGATTACCGATGACTCTCAGAGCAGCTACCGGCTAAACGCACGTTTTAACTACTGTTGCGAACTCAACGAAGCAAGAGATAAGCGTGGCGAGTAAGCTGGACGTCGATATCGCGAACGGTTCGCTAAAGCGAGGATTAACGAGCGAGAAATGCATGATTGACATGTGATCCATTTCTCATTCCCGAAAAATTAATTATGCGAAATGTGTGTGATGGGGCGAGTATGATTTATTGGGTAGTTTTTACCGAACATGCTAAAAAGATGAACACTAATAGCGAAGTGATAGAGTGTCAATACGAAGCGCGACCAACTGCGCTGATTCCGACCGATTCTTGTGATTGTCTCTTTGGAAGATGAAATGGCGTGCTAGCGAGAGGGCGAGCGAGCGCGCGTGCGGAGGCGGCAACAGCAGCAGTAGCACCCTGAGCATTACCCTCAGTCTCAGCCTCAGCTTCAGCCTCAGTATCAGCATCAAAGTCAGATAGTGCAATCGCGCCTATTGCATTCCTGCGACTTCTTGTGGCAGCTGTCCGTTCGCTCCGATTCGACAGACAGACTTCAATCCTTCGGCCATCACCGGCCGAACGCCTGGATAAATTCATCGCACGATCAAACGTCTAAATATCGCGGGTCCGAGCCCGACCACCATGTGTACCGTCGACACGGCCATGCCGAGTATCGGTCGCTCAAATATGCAGCCCGTTTGAGTTGCGGACGTACGCTTCCTTCGTTCGGTGCCAGTTTTCCTCATAAAAGCCTCCTCGTATCAGGTTGCGTTTTGCGTGCGTTAACTCCGCTTGGCCGGCGCTGACCCTGTGTGCACGAGTCGCTCGTCCTCCTCGCAGGTATGACTTTGCCTTATTCCAAAGTTACACGTGAGGACGCTTGTTTTGTGTAATTAATAACGATCGCCGTGCCGTCAGTCTATCAATCAAAAATCACATTTGACCGTCGTTGATGACTGCCGTCCATCGGCTGAACCATCG